TCGCGTGATCAGTCGCTAGCGCAGGCAAACCTCATTCACGCGACGGCTTTGGCAAGCGAATTCCACTGTTGCTGGCATGAGGCCATCTACTCGCACCAAGAAAACCGCGTAGCGAGCGGTATGCAATTTAAAAATAAGATATATTGTGTAATGGAACGAAAAGTGTTTATGAATGCCTTGCAGCACTTATTTATATGCACATGCGTAATAAACAATGTGTTATTTCTTGTTGCGCATACGTGACTCGGGCAGGGTCACGTGCACCTATGTAGTCTGTCTTTTCCGGTTTTTCGCTATTGGCAGCTTGAGCCCAGCACTTCCGGGCGATGAGCGACGGTTTCCAAATCTGGAGAACCGAGCGATCGCGCGAAAACGAGCATGCGACACGTCGCGCGAACGCCCTGTTCAGTCGCTCATAGCATCGCTCGTTGCTGTCGCGTACCTTTTCGCGCTTATGAAGTTTGCTCTTAACTCCGAACGTACAAACACTGCGAGCACAACGACCGCTGCCTGCCGATGCTACAGGGGGAGGAGCTTGCAACAAGTGCGCAGTGTGCCGTTGACACCATAGAGACTGCAATGACTGCAAGCTGCAAGGCTGTGGCGCGCGTGCGCCGCTACCTTAAAAGTGGCGCTCTCGGCGCCATCGATGTGTGCAGCATTCGTAAACGCCCGCCGCTCTACCGCTACTTTCGAGGGTTGCGGGAAAGCTTGCCGCCTGTCAATGGAGCGCGGGTGGTTTGGGGTGGCCGAGTTCGATATATCCATTATACAGTCGCCGACCGATTTTTCGGACCTGGCGGGGACCGAAAAAAAGTACGAAAAATCGAACAGTCCGAAAAATTCGTTTTCGCCAAAAATCTGAAGTTTATTGCATCAGGCAGGTTTAAAAAAGTCCTTGATGCTGCCTTGCCTCAAACTACGCTTGGAGGCAATTTGGTTTGCCCGTATTTGCGCCAAGGTGACATCGTCGCCATAAACGCTCGACAAAATTGTCACCGCGTTGGCGATCTCCGACGGCTGCGGGCGGTCGTCGTTGTCATTCGACGACAACGACGACCGCCATCCGGCGTCGACCGTCATCCAGCGATATCTAGCTGCGAACGTCCACTCTCTATTAGCTTGATTATGGCAGCTTTCTTCTCCATCGTCAGGGTCGTATACTTCCCACGCTTCTTCACACCACCTGGCTCCCGCGATGGCACAGATAGCGGAGCCATGGCACCGAGAACACAAAATTCGATGCCGCAGATAGCCGCTGCGAAGCACACAACGTCTCGACGCTACGCGACACAACACGTGCAGAATGGCGACTGAAAAAAAGCTGCAACGACAATAAAAGAATCCTTCTTTCGCCTCCTCACCGTGCGATGTGATGACGATAGTGCTGACCGAAGACGAAAAAACGGCATCCATCACCGCGTCTTTTAAAAAGCAAACACGGCCTCCGAAACTTAAAACATGGCGTGCGCATTCCAATCTCGGAGGCAGGAAAGGCATCTGAAGACCAAGTTTAGTTAAGCCGACAGAAAATCCAACATGGCGGCGTTCACAATGGCTTGAAGCGTGGCACAAAACAAGCGATTTAGTCCGAAAAATCGAACTTTCAGGGGCAAATTCGCCCGAAAAATCGGTCGAAACAATGCATTAGCTCTATGGGATCCCTGACGGTGCATTTATAAAGTCCGGAATATCCAACAAGTCCGAATTTTTGGAGTCCGGAAAATCGGTCGGCGACTGTATGTCAAACTTTGTTCGAAATAAAAAATCAATAATGCATGCGACTTCCCGTGTGATATAGGAACCGTTCGATATAGGCAATAATTCGATATATCCGTGTTCGATATATTGAGGTTTGACTGTACACACAGACATTGGTTTACGCAAAAGTCTGTAAAAAATCGCTATCTTGCCCAAGTCGGCAAGATAGCGATAGCAAAAAAAATTCTGAAGGTTGAGTGGCTGAACTAACTACTAAAAAGTGCTGGGTGCACCAGAAAAAAATTTAACATGCCAAAATTGATGACTGAAAAGCATCGATCACCGGTGATTGATCTGAATAGGTGTGGTAATGAAAGAGTCAAAAGGAAAACTTCACTTCATTAATTCATTACACAGACCAAACTAAGGCTGAATAATGGTCCAGACCATTGTATCCGGAAGTCTGTTGTATCAGGGGTTTGTTACAATGTGCATAGACTGTTTGGATGAAAGCCCATAAAGGATCACTTGCCCATTGCTACATAAAGATGTTATTGCACCACAGTTGCTAAAAGAAACGCTTTAAGCTGAAGGTTGCTGGTTATACAGTGAAATCCCGTTATAACGAACCTCAGATTAACGATTTTTTCAGATTAACGAATATTTCTGAAATCCCCTTCCAAATGTCCATTGGTTCAATGTAAAAAATATTTCACTACTACGAATTTCAAAATAACGAATTTCTAGCCTAAAAATTACGTGCGGCGGTCTAAATGCCCAGCGCCATATGTGGCACTATCATCATCATCAGAGCTCCTGCTCATTTCTCCATGTGTTGCCTTATGCTAAATGCGCACTAGCCTGGCTAGCCCTATCGCCATCGCCAGTACCTTGTTTTCGATTTTTTTTTTTTTTTTGCATGCTCGTTGAGCCAGGTTGAGCCTAACCTTGCCGCCTTTGTTTTGTTACGTCGACCGGCAACGTCGCACGATTGTCGTACGGCTTTCTCGTTTTAAAGGTTAGAGTGATTCGTTTCTGCGTTCGCGATGAGCTCCGGAAGCAGCGCAAAAAAGAAACGGAGGCAGTTTTCTTTGAAAGAAAAAGTGGATATTCTTTCTCAAGTGGACGCCGGTAAAAAACAAATCCACATTGCGAACGAGATGGGGGTTGCACCATCAACTGTCGCAACCATCCTGAAGGACCGACAAAAGATCCTCGAGCTGCACCGAGGGTCCCAACTCGCACCGTCAAGAAAACAGCTCCGACTTGGGAATTTCCAAGAAGTGGATGCTGCAGTACTGACTTGGTTCAAGGACGCGCGTTCTCAAATGTGCCGGTGTCGGGACCCATGCTGCAGGAAAAAGCCCGGCAATTCGCTGATGCTTTGGACATCACAGGCTTCGAAGCAAGCGCGGGGTGGCTTCATCGTTTCCGTGAAAGGAATGGAATCACCTGGCAAGTGGTGTCTGGTGAAGAGAAGGCGGCAGACGCAGCAAGCGCTGCTGCATGGAGGGACGAGAAGTTCCGCGAAATCGTCGCTTCATACTCCGAAGATGATATATTCAATGCGGACGAAATGGCGTTCTTCTATCAAATGCTTCCTGATAAAACCATGCATTTTAAAGGGAACAGCTGCAAAGGCGGCAAGCAGTCCAAAATCCGGATTACGGTATTGTTATGCTGCAATTCCACAGGCACCAAGAAGCTGAAGCCCTTGGTGATCGGCAAATACAAGAAGCCTCGCTGCATGAGGAACGTTGCTTCATTGCCGTGCGATTATCGGGCGCGTGGATGACACGAGAGTTATTCTCTGAGTGGCTACTAAAGGTGGACGATGAGATGAGGAGCGCAGGTAGGAAAATCCTGATTATCGCCGACAACTGCTCGGCGCATCTTGTTAATGTCAGGCTGACAAATGTACAGTTGGAATTCTGGCCTCCGAACTGTACGTCCTTGCTCCTGCCACTGGACCAAGGCATCATAAAAAGTGTCAAGGCCCATTACCGGACACGCCTGGTTCAGCGATTGCTGATAAATCTTCGGATGAAGCTGCCTACCTCCATCAATGTGCGACAGGCCACAGAAATGGTTACCGGGGCCTGGTGGAGCGTTACATCAACCACCATCCAGAACTGCTGGAGGAAGGCAGGCTTGGTAGTAATGCCATCTGAATCTGAACAAGGCAGCGAAGAAAGCGACGCGAGTGGCATGTGGCAAGAAGTCGTCAAAAGACTCGCGATGGATGCCTCGGTGACGTTCGAGGACTATGTGCAGTGCGACGATGAAGCATGCACGTCAGCCGAACTGATGACCGATGACATCGTCAGTGCTGTTCGTGGTGATAACAGCGACGAGGACGCCAATGGCGAAGACGACGCTGAGACCGCGCCCGTTAGCCAACCAGAAGAATCGCTTTCCAACGCCGACATCATGGCATGCGTGCGAAAGATGCGCACTTACCTTGGCAGGTGCAGCAATGCCACCGAAGCAGAGCATAAGAATGTGGACAACTTCGAAGCGTTCGTCCTGCGGCAGTTGAGCGGCACCCACCAGGCCAAGATCACAGACTTTTTCAAATAAACGTGCGCTCATTCCGGAATACTTCGCGTTTTGTTTCTTTTCACGCTCGTCATAAAATCAAGCGTTTGCGGATGTGTACACAGCAAAGGTAGGCGACTCCTTTTGTTGCATTTACGATTTTTAATGCGAATTTTCGATGTTTTCACTATAACGATATTTCAAAATAACGAACTATTTTCCGCGGTCCCTTCAAATTCGTTGTATCGAGATTTCACTGTAGTGGAAAAACATGGCGGTGTGGCTGCTTTTGGCAGGCAGTTTTCGAAGGAGTGTGCAGCTCCTACACAACCTTTTTTTGCCTAATTCATTTCAAAAATGAGGTGTGGCCAATACTTGAGACTATGCCAGTAACGCATTTACTCATGCATCCAGCCTTCATGCATCCACCTTTGTGCTATGACTATCGGAGAAAGCAATATTTTGCTCTGCATGAGTATTTGGGAAATCAGAAGCAGACACACGAGACATCCATTATTTCTCATCTGCTTGTATACACAGAAACCAAAATTTTGCACTCAGCCTTTCCTGCAGTTAATAAAGGAGTGTACAAAATATTCGTCTAACAGCAGACTGCAGTAGTGAGGGTAACAAGAATGGAATATGCCCAATGCATGCAAGTGTACATTGCATCAATTGACACAAGTTTTATCATGCCTTTCGTGCAATAAGATAGTTTTCCTATAAAGGGCAGCAAGAACAAGACTTCAGTAACAACTCACCATAATCAGTGACAAAGGATGCTGGAATGTGATCTGAAAAGAATTGAAGACATAAGTACAATAAAATTTGAATTACACCAACATTTGAAATATTGCTAGCAATGCCATGCATTGCAAAAGTTTTTATGAATTACATTGCTATAAAAATACACTCAATAAAGTTTCAATTTACTGAAGTAAACTGCTAATTTTACAGACTGTTATATGGTAGGTAACCTGTATATGCACTAGTTGATGGAGAATAGTTGCGGTACGTGAATACAGATTCCAAAATTAGAATATTTTTCTGAACACAAGTTTCCAGCATACAGAGTGGACAAAACGTAGCTTTCTTTGGCCTGAAAACTTTTCTTTGATATGAGCTTTCATATTGAAAGGGGCATGCACAATTTTCACTTTGCTGAAAATAAACTTAATACCGATACACCGTAGCAGAGCATAAAATGAACCTGAGCAGACCAGCTTCAAAATGCCTCCCGCCACATTATTGAGATGGCGATAGCAGTACATTTGCCGCTAATGCTAATGCCGCCAATGTGGTTTCAGTTTCGTACTCAATCGATTAGTTTCGCAAAACATGCTTTCCAAATAATGCCTCCACGTCAAAAATATGAAGCTGTGCATTCAATCGGAATGTTTGGTAACAAGCTGTAACTTTTTTGTACTAAGACCAATTATGCCCAAACCAAACCTGCCAAATATTGTTTTTTTTAATGATAATGCATCAGGTCATAGACGTGATGGTGGCATTTAAAATGTTGTTTGTTAGGTTATTATCCTCTTTACATACCAGCCAAGTCCCATTTGATCCATACTAATAATTTTGTAGTTATCCCTGTTGGTGCGGCATGCACATTTTGTTCATAAATTGATTGTATTTAACTTTTTAGCAACTTTAGCAATTTCACGATTTTAAAGTTAAAAAAAAACTACTTATGCCCAACAAACAAATATAAAAATATAGTTTTGATCTACAATTGTAGATTTTTTTTTCAAATGTTGTGACCTCCTTTAAAACCCGGAAAAATAATCTTCACGTCGCAAATAGAAAGAAAAAAAGGCAAGCCCAACACACGGTGGTAACAGGCTATGGCATCCATTCTGCCACTGCGACTTGTTATCAAAACCTGAACTGATGTCTAGGCAGGTGGAATACTGAGCTTAGTCCCACGAATGCACAGCATCAAAAACAATCGCCCGCCATAAAAATGACAATGCTGGTGCATGTTCGCTGCTTCACAATACTGCCACTCACCTTCTAATCGAATCTTCTTTGCTGGAGAAGATCCTGCGTCAGACTCTGCCTTACGCTTGCCATTGACAATAGGAACTTTCTCCTTTGGCATCTGCGGAGACTGCTTCACAGGACTTTTCTGCTGCTGACCTTGTATTTTTGCAGTAGCAGCTTCTTGTTTTGCGGCCTTCGGTGCTGGCACTACAACATGAATAATAATGTGAACAACTCGGGAAAGCTATGTAACAAGGCATGTACCTATATTGCAGCTAAAGCTACTTTTCCCATCTAAAGTAGACAGGACGACAAGGCACTTTAGGGCCGAAAATCAGCCAAATTATCACGTTTTGGCAGACAATTTTTTCAACTCTCGACGTCATTGCAAACCTACTGTATTTACTCGTAGGCACTCGCGTAATAAATGCACCCCCAACATCAGCCATCAGCCATCAAAAATTTGGATTTTTCTTTACACCACATAATAAACGCACCCCCTACATTCATGCAAAGGTTACTCAATAGTTACTAGGGCACCCAGGCAACCGCCCTTCTTCCTCACTCGGTGAGCCCGCGCAGCACTGCCGTGGTCTTCTTTCATTTTCTTTTCTCTTTCCTCAATTCAATTAACGTAAGAGGGCGTCAAATTGGACTGCGCTACTATGCTAAAGAGTTACTGATTGCGGTCAAGTTTGGGGTGCACCTATTGTGCGCGGAAATTTAAAAAATTTCTCGTGACCAAACTGGGAGTGCGCCTATTATGAAAGTGCGTCAGTTATGCAAGTAAATACGGTACTTGCAATCAGCCTATAAATACATACAGATAAACTAAGAAAGTTTTGTAAAAATCAATCACGATTGTGGAAAAAAAAGGCCACGTTTCCCTTTAAACAGAACCTGAAGGGACCAGGAAAATACCTACATTTCCTTTTAACAGGAGTTCTCTTTACTCAGAAATAAACTGGGTTGAAACATTCAAGTATCCAACCAATCAGATTAAAGGCCCTTATTTTATTTAAGCAGTAATTACATATAAGAGATTTCAGTTTACCAAGAGTTTACAGTACAGCTTCTATCAAGAGTTGGTGATTCAAAACGTAATCCCACTTAGTACACACCTGGAAAACCTACGCAGCCATTGGCCTAATGACACATTGTTGGAAGATTACGAAAGCAAGCAAGTCTAAATTGTGGCTAAGAGTGAAGATCTCTCCAGCCTGATCTCTCCAGCCTCATACTAAGAAAAGAAAAAGGTCATTCTACTTTTCTGAATTTCAAAACAAAAGTGTTGCTGAAATCATTCACATCAATGAATAGTTAAACCCCTGCTACGGCCTTTGATATTTCATATCTAATTCCATTTTTTTATACACAAACTTTAAAATACAGTACTCAATAAATGGAATCTGAAGGGACCACGAAAATGTGTTTCATTTAGCTGGAGCTCTATTCACTGCGGTTGCAAAGCTTACTGATGTTGCAAAATTAAAGTATGAGACCAACCTTATTAGAGGTTGGTAAGTACTTGTTCCATTTAAAGGGGCCCCGCAACACTTTTCAGAGTTAAAATAGAATAACCTCACTATTGCAACAGGATAGAACGGTGGGCTAGTCCCACTATTAGTGCATGACGCTTCATAAGTCACATGCTGCAAAAATTTTTAAAATCCGTCAAGTGCGAGCAGAGCTCAGGAATTTGTCACATAATTCAAGCGCTTTCTCCCTCTTTTCATACTAGTGAGTGCACTGAAAGCTAAGCAGGGAGGAGGATGACAAGAGAGCAAGAAGATGCGTCCCTTCACCAGTGCATATTGCGAGATTGAGCAGTTTCTTGTAGGTTTTTTTTTCTTCAAACGTGCAGTCAGCACGGCTTACATTTAGCGTGATCGCAATCATGTGGCAGCATCCCACGGTAGCCACGGTAACTATGCAGCCTATGATACCCAGATCAGCCAATGGCCAGTGGACTTGGATAATGCATCATTACCAGAGAAAAGAGGAAGAAGTTTCATGCAGAATTTAAAAATTGTGAATTCTAGGCCAAGTGTGGGGGAGGAGACAGCCCAGCGTACATGAAGTGTACATGGTTGTGACCCGTTACTCCATAGATCCAAGAATACATGCTCCAATGACACGGAGCACAAGAAAGAAGAAGCCCGCGTAATTGCGGACCTCAGAAAAATTTAATACCCAAAAAACCTCATGCGAGCTGTCACTCGTAGCGCACATCAACAGAGGATACGGAAACCCCAATCAGCCTTAATTGGCAGCCCTCTAAAAGCGTACCCGTTCCTTATGTCCAAGGACGTTGGCTTTGGCCTTCAAAAAAGAATGGGTGCGCATCGCGCATGTGTTCTCGAGTACAGTGAATGGACAGGACCCCGGTGTCAGTTACAAAAGCCTGTGTGCCGAGTGTCCTTCTTTGTGTATCAGCGAGACAAAAACTGTACCAGAACGACTCAAACAACACACCAACAACTTCCGGATGCTCAACAAAGAGTGCAGTGCCATCGCCGAGCATTCTGAGACGTTTGACCACTTGATAAATTTCTACACAACGACCATTCTTGAAAGCAAGACTAACTAAAGGAGAAGGCTGGTACTCGAGTCGTGGCATATACTGCGAATGGCCCAAAACATCAATCAGTTTTCTCGGAACCCTTCCCCCTGCTGTACGCACATGGACAACACTCCACAGCAAAACGGGGGGTGGGGTCTTTAACTACCCCGCAAGTGCCTTGAAGACGCTGCTTCAGGTTTACGTAGTCAGGTTTACGCATTTGTACGTTCATTTTGGAGTTAAAATCGTTTCCCTAATGACGACCTGTACTTTCACCAAAAATGACCAGTAGACCCTTACTGCATGGTCACCTTATATCTTTTGAACTGCCAATTTTTTTTGTTGCTTGGGAGAAAATAATTTTCTGCAGAATATTTTGTTAATTTTTCAATAAAACTGCTTCCCACCAAAAAAGGAGTCTTGTGCATGTAAGAGTTAAATAACTCGCATCAGTCAGCCATACTGGCAATGATGCTATAACTGATGCAGCTGCATTTCGATATTGTCATTCTCCATTGTACCAAAGCTGCTAATGGTGGAGCTTATAGCTGTTTGTTATTTTAGGGGTGCAAACATGCTATCAGTTACTTAACTTACTGCCACTCAATTTGACCCAACCTTTGGATCAGTTCATATGAAGCTGCACTAACCGCCACAAGCGAGACAACAGGCACATACAAAGTACGCATACTGGAGAGCACCGACCAGCACTGGCACATCAAACAGGTAATGCTCAGCCTTTGCAAAGGAGACGGCCACCAGTTCACTGCATCTAGGCAAGACATAAATCGCACAAATCCACCCTTTCTTCAATATTTAGACCATTACAACAAATGTTAACACATTCAGCACTGAGTGCAATACAAAAGGCCACTTACCATCCTCATCTTCAGACTCCTCGTCAAGTTCTTCATCGTCCAGCTCCTCATCATCGAGGTCTTCCTCATCGAGGTCTTCATCATCAAGCTCCTCATCGTCAAGCTCTTCATCAGCTGTACAGAAAGTAGATAACATAAGTAATACTCCATGCTAAAAAAAGAGAAAATGATTCATCTATTTTTACAGTATTCTCACATTTAAAATGGGTTACATACAATAACATACAACGTGCAAAATACTCTTCCTCAATGCGAAATCACTAAATCCGTATCAAGAGAGAAACTCAATGACCATGACAAGTTGTGGATAGACGGTGGTATAGATGAGAAGTGGCTTCAGTGGGCAGAGTTTAAGGTCGTAAAGCATAAGATTGCCTGCACAAGATGCAAGACATGTCATTTTACAGAACTCATGTTCACCCATGGTGGCTATAGTACAATGATATTATTGTATCATAATCAATACCAAGAAACATTTAGAGAAGACTGGAGGAACTTATAGTAGACCCACCATCAGTTTCAATGTTAGCGAGACGCAATGGGAACGCTGCTGACCACAAGAGACGCAGCTTTCCGACATTGCCAGTGATGGGGAGTGACTACTTTTTGAAGCATACGTTGGAGCAGCCATAAGTACTTTCCGGGTGGAAAAAATGTAAATTTGGAGCAGCTATTGGTGTTTTAGGAGCAGATACAAAATTTGCCATACACCAATTAGAGTTCAAAGCATCATGAAAACATCTCATAAATATTAATACTTATTATGAAACTTATTTCACAGACAGTAATGAACGTAAATTTCAAAGCCAAACAATTAAGAAGGTGGCTAGTTGTCAAAAATGGGCTCAGAAATGAGCTAAATATTCAAAATACTAGTATTTGGGGCAGCAATCAAACCGGCAAAGCTGAGCACCACATTTCAGAAGTACCCACAGTCCCACATGACTGTTGCCAAATAAGCAGTACATAATCGGTATGAGATAAAAGCAATCCTGTTGATTGATATGTGGGGTTTAACGTCCCGAAACCACCATATGATTATGAGAGATGCCGTAGTGGAGGGCTCCGAAAATTTTGACCACCTGAGGTTCTTTAACGTGCGCCCAAATCTGAGCACACGGGCCTACAACATTTCCGCCGCCATCGGAAAAGCAATCCTGTTGATTTTCACATTTCACCACACCAATCTGCATGTCTAGCTGAAAAAAAAAACTGCCAGTTGAGCTATATATGTTTAACATGCCAGTTCATGTCGCATAAATGAGATCAGAGCCGATAATGCTGCAAACTAGTTGCATACTGGAATGCTTGTATACAGATTCTTTCCTTAGGACTTATGAGCTAGTCAAACAGTAAAAGTTAGTCACTTTCATTCACTCAGTGCCATTTTGTAGCAAAATTGGAGCAATTACTAACAAAAAGTTACTGTTCGAAGCTGCATGGAGCAGAATTTCTCTTTTGGAGCAGCACTTCGAATTCAGGGGTAGACACCATATGCAGTGCGTGTGGAGAGGAGGAAACTGCCGAACACTTGATAATGTTCTGTAAAGGGCTTCACCCTATAGTCCAGGATGATGGCGCAGAGTTTATCAAAGCACTGGGGTTTAGAGACAGGGAGGGCAAAACAGACTTTAAGTGGATAGAAATAACTAGAAGGAGGTTGTCTGATTGGTGGCTAAAATCAAGGCACGAATGAGAATTAAATCCTTCACTACAAATGCCAGTCCTTAACCTTACTATTCAAAGAGGGAAAAAAATCTAGTTAGTGTTCACAAAGTATTACGGCTAGGTGGCGTTGACCGCCGACCGATCTAAGGGCACAGCCATAGCAATCAATCAAAAACGTGTTCGCTTTCATAAAAATTGACAATGTACTGCCTGCACAGCAGTACAGGTGGCTTAAGCTCTGTTACGGTTCATATAAGCATACCGACCACGCCATCTGTTGACGCGGCGGGACGGAGTGTGCGTATCGCTCGTGAAAATGAAGGCCGCCACCGCCGCATTGGCTCAACAAAATGTTCACACCTTTGCTCGGTCCCGTGCTGAGCGAGCACGAAGAAAAAAAAAAAATCTACCCAAGGGCAAACGCACGTGTATACGTTACAGGGTGCGGTGCTGGTAGAGTAAGCTTCGTGGGCGATGCATTCGTTGCACGCAACTAGCTAGGGGCGCACTCAGCTTGACGTACAACGGTAATGCATTCCATGTATAGCCACGCCAGTTTTCGCTAATGGATCCCCATACAAACGTATGTGCACACGTTGATGCCTGACAAGTCGACCATCAGCTGTGCTGCTACTTCAGCATATATACTCTCTTGATAGTTATGGAATGATTTCATGGTAGCGGGTATGGTCACGCAAATGAGCTGAACTATTTTTCCTCGCAATGGCAAACATATGGCGTATTCGGTTGGGCGATTTTGAGCGCTCTGAAAAGGGGCTGCGGCTTCGGTTGGTAGAATTCGAGTGCTTGGACTTCCTTTGGTTGGTTCTATCAGAGCGTCAGCCTCTGACTCTGAGCGCTCCTGACCACTCTGACCTTGAAGTGAGAGTGTGGCGTGATCTGACAGGGAGGACGGATTACGAGACACAAGCCGGCCAATGACGTAGCTGCAGCAGGTGAACCACGCAAATGAGGAGCCCGAGCGTGCATTTCGGAAGGGGGCATCACGGGGCACGTAATACTTCGTGCACGTGCGTTGTTGATGGCGTTTTTGAGTGTGCGCCATATATGCACCATGTCAATAACGAGACGGCTAGCGTGAAGGCAGAGGAAACATCAATGCTGTCACTACAGCAGCTCACAGACAGCGTCGTGATTTGCCTTGAGGATAGCAGCTCAGATGAGAATGATCACCAAATCAATGTGCTGAGCTCAGAAAGCTTTCGCTACATCCAGACACGTGTGTGAGAGAGAGAAATAATATAAGGTCAGACAAATTAGAGATATTCACTGAACTGATCTGCACCATTTGTTGACACAAGCAGGGCGCAGCGCTGTTTACCCCGCACTTTCCCACGCTGGCGCTACAGGCCCGCTGCTCTGGGCGCACCGAGATCGCCGATGTATTCAGCTGGTACGCTGCCTCTCACGCTCCGATTGCAAGCTGCCCCTGCATCTGGTGGCTCTGAGCCAGAGGACCAGAGCGGCCAACCGAATACGCCAATAGAAAAGGCTATGCACTTACGGTAAAGTTACAATGGCGTCATCACATATAGTTCTCCATCCATAACAGCGGCACACATAATGTGACGTACGGATTAATGCGTAGTTCCGCTGCGTTACAGACAGCGCCTTTGAAAAATCTGCTAAACACGCATCGCGCGGCAATGTCTTCAACAATCAACCCTCCATTACAACGTCGCTGCGATCTCGCTCTTTTGCCAACGTCCGTTTCCCGACGTCTATAGCCAGTGCGCCGAAAGGAGGTCGCAATGCAGCAAAATGGCGCCTCACCGCCGGAAGTTATAGCTCTAACAAAAAGGCATATTCGGGGTGTCTTTCTCACACATCATTAACCCTTTATCTTGCCCGCTTACCTCGCTCGCGTTATCGCTGTGTGCCTGGTACACCTCGATCATGAATGATCGTGCAGCATAACACAGCGATCTTGATCGGAAAATCGAGAAAGTCCTCGAGAAAGGCAACAAAAGCAAGCGAGATAACGAGTGTTGCTGCGTAGTTGAAAAATGCCCCAAGTACTTCTATTTCTCTTTGTGGCTTGACCGGTGAGAACAGAGCAGAAAATTAAAAAGAGGACTAAAAAATCGGGGGCTTTCGAGCCAAATCCGATTGTGTGGAAACCTGGATTAGTTGCAACCACCTAGGGTGCTTTAGTAATCGTTTGGCTTTAAGTACATGGGTGTTAACTGTTACACAATCAAACCAGTGGCCACATGCTCACTAGCCATGATGGTAGGTACAAAAGATTTTTTCTTTTTTTTTTAGTAATAAAGCACTACCACATAAAAAAAAAGATACAAAAGGTTTTCTCAACATGTGGATTGAACCCAAGGCATCACAGTCACAAGCGCAACTATTACAGTCTTATGCTTTCTGGCAAGTACAGATGGTAATGGTTTTGTGTGTGCGTAATAAGTGACTATAATAATTGAATTCTACTTTTTTTAAACATAAATGTTGTTATGTGGGGTTTAACGTCCCAAAGCCACCATATGATTATGAGAGACGCCGTAGTGGAGGGCTCCGGAAATTTCGACGCCCTGGGGTTCTTTAACGTGCACCCAAATCTGAGCACATGGGCCTACAGCATTTTCGCCTCTATCGAAAATGCAGCCACCGCAGCTGGGATTTGATCCCGCGACTGTCTTTAAAACTAAGTCGTTTTATGCTATCTATGATTGCAGGTGCCACGGTTTTGTCCACAGAGTTTGCAGAAAGCAGCGTTGCTTTCTTTGACTGGTCAAGCATTGGACGCGCCCATACTTTTGGAGTACTGTCAGTTACGTCGTCGCCATACATGATCATGTCAAGAACAACCGTGGTTTCGGCCACAGCGGTTGTGGCAAGGACAACCACACCCACTGTCCATAGAAGACAGTGCATGCGCTCGTCGCACGCGCACTTCAGAAGCTTCGTGCTCGCTGCTCTCGGCCTTCATTCGACGGTTTCGGTACTAAAGTTGATACCACTTGCCGTGATTCGAAAAAATGTTGGGAACATTCGAATTTTGGCCCCACGGACGTGGAACTTGGCTGGAGAATTTTGTGAATCCACATCTGTCGCAATTTCGAATCACTGAGATTCTCTGCATGTTTAGATGAATGCCTCCTAAATTCATTTACAATAAAATGCTGTAGGTTCGCAAAAAGCCTGGAGCGGATCCGATTGGCTTGCATTTTTGTCAATGCGGCCAGATGACAAACGAAAATTTCGATTTCTGGTAGATTCTCATGACAACCACACAAACGGAAGAAACGGTTGAAATCCGGGAGTCTCCCGGACAATCAGCGAGGCTTGGCAGGGATGATTTAATTATGTGGTAGTTTTGGGACGTTAAACCATGCCACAAACATCTGGAATTCTCGCCCGCGTGCCCTTTCACAATTGTATTGGGAAAAGACTTCCACTGCAACGGAGCCTGCAAG